AAGAAGCGCTAAGAGCGGCTTGCTAAAAACTGAGTCATATTGGGACTTGAGTAGCTCACTCATTTCCTTGCTGTCATCTGTGTAGGACCCATCTTGTTTAAGTAGGGGCCCAATACTGGACGTTGTTCTCGATTTTGATTTGGCATAGGAGAAGAAATACTTTGGGTTTCTTTCGATTTCATTTATGGCTTTTAGTTCTTCCCGCGATTCCTGACTCCTAAAGGATTCTTTTAGCTTAAGTTTGATGCTTGCTATTTCTCTGACCAGTGTCTCCCTACGCATTTCAGATATATTGACCTCTTTTAGCCGCTCTGTTATTCTTTTCCGTCGCCTGTAAAGGGAGCGCCTGTCCTTTCTATTTTACATCTACTCCTCCTTTTTCTTAGAGGAATAAGCCTTGTGCATACATCGAGTGCCACCGAGTTAATCTGTTCTAGGCATAAGTGGGGTCTGTGTTGCTTAGTATATCTTCCCAGCTTTATATCAGTTAGGACTTGGTTTACTTGGTCCCACTTTATGTTTTTGTTATTGAAGTTGAATTTGGTGAATGCTCCCTCGTGACTAGTCTCATTATGTCGGTCTGGGGCTCCACGCATACATGTCTGAACCTCAATTATGTTGTGATCTGAGTATATTGTTTTTGATATGGTGACATTTCTTATCAGATCATCATTGTTAGTGAAGATGAGGTCTAGTGTATTCTCCAGTCTAGTAGGCTCTATTATTTGCTGGTTTAAATTGAATTTTGTGCAGAGATTTAAAAGCTCGTGTGAGTGTGAGTTTTCATCAGAGCTGCCTCCTGGTGTTATTACTGCAACAATATTATTTGCTATATTCCTCCATTTTAGGTGCCTTAAGTTGAAATCCCCCAGGAGCAAGATGTTGGGTGCAGGAGCTGGAAGATTTTCCAGACAGTGGTCAATTTTTAACAGCTGTTCCTGGAATTGCTGGGATGTTGCATCCGGAGGCTTGTAGACTACCACAATGACTAGGTTTTGGTTCTCGACCTTTACTGCTAAAACTTCCACTACATCATTTCAGGCATTAAGCAGTTCTGTGCAAACAAGTGACTCTGCAATGTACAGGCCAACCCCCCCCTTTTGCCTGTTCACTCTGTCACATCTGTATAGGTTGTAACCTGGGATCCATATTTCGTTGTCCAAGTGATCCTTTATGTGGGTCTCAGTGAAAGCTGCGAACATTGCCTTTGCCTCTGCAAGCAGTCCACGGATGAAAGGTATTTTGTTGTTTGTTGCTGGCTTTAGACCCTGTATATTTGCAAAGAAGAATGTTATCGGACTGGTGGTATTGTTGGTACTGGGGGGGGATTTTTTTTTTCGGGCATTAGTATCTGTATCTGTTGGTTTGGAGTGGAGGCCATCGACTGTGGTTCCACTCCAGGAATGACTGGATTTGGTGTACGATTTCTGCCATTTCCTGCCAGTTTTTTTTCCTTCCTGGCACTAAAAAACCTCTCCCTCTTGAGTGGCTGTGGCTACCCAGGTTTTCCCATGGCCTGGATGTTTTGTATCTTTTTGTCCCCTTTAGTGGATTATGCTGGCATTTAAGTTATAGCACAGTCTTTCCTGTACTGAAGATGGTAACACGTTCAGGGTGAAAAAGAACTTACAGGAAGGGAGTTTGCATTTTCTGTTGTCATATGGGCATGGCATTTTTTAGGGTGGTCATAGTTGCACGTCCCATCTGTTTTTCCAGATTTCCCATGCCAGCAGATACAAGTGCATAGTATGTGCACAGGCTTGGTTTCCGTTTGGCCTTGGGTTTCTGTGACTGTATTCCCTTGGTGCATGTTTCCCTGTCTTATTCTATCATCCCTAGCACCAACAATGGAGCTCCCACCAGTTGTTTTTGGTAATATATCCTCACTATTGTAGTGGAGTCCTCTTGTTTGCTATTTCTGCGGTATTTCTAGTTTGCAATATTGGTTTTATCTTATCTTTGATACACTTGTTTCCTACTATGGCTCTGTCCCCTATGAGGTCATTTATATGTATTCCTTCCTGCGTATAATTCCCGACTACCTGGACAAAATCTCCAGCTTCACCATTACTGTGTCCCAGGACAGCATCTCCAGCTTCACCATTACTGTCTCCCAGGACAGCACCTCCAGCTTCACCATTACTGTCTCCCAGGTACAGCACCTCCATTATTATTATAATCAAGGGGGAAGCGCTAAACCCGTAGGATTATACAGCGCCCAGGGGAGGGGGGGATGTGGAAGGCATTCAGGCTTAATTCGGGGAACTGGAGCACAGATCCAATTCCCTAAATCAAGAGCCCCTCACCAACATCAAGGAACCTTCCATGAGGGGACAGCACCTCCAGCTTCACCATTACTGTCTCCCAGGACAGCACTTCCAGCTTCAACATTACTGTCTCCCAGGACAGCACCTCCAGCTTCACCATTACTGTCTCCCAGGACAGCACTATCAGCCCCACATTTACTGACTACCAGGACTTCATCTCCAGCCTTACAGTTTCTGACTACATGGCCAGTATCAAGGGCAGTACCATTCAGCCCAGACTTTTTATGTTCCCATCTGTTGTAGAAAGCTTCCAGGTTTTCTATGAAAGCAGCTTTGATGTTGTCCTCTTTTAATACCCTTGTGATTTTAGTCCACAGATTTATCTCATTTGGGCATACCCAAAAACATTTCCGTTTTAATACTGCTTGTAGCTAGTTCTTGGATATCTGCACAAGGGGCGTGACACCAATTTCCACAAAAATGACAATTTATCCATGTGGAAGCCCGTTTGTTTGACTGACCACAGACTACACACAGCTTCATAATGATTTGAATGGTTGATTTACTGCAATTCTACTAGCAACCTCTTGAATATTCTATTAATAACCTCCTTAAATGAAGCTCTAGCTATTTGTATTTCTGTTTCTAACTGTTTTTGTATATTGGACAGCTTACCGTGCACGTTCCTTATATATATTTAGTGTTGTCGATCTTAATGTTAATTTGCGCAACTCCTGCTCTGCTACCAAACATAATATAGTAGGTTTTGTCAGTGTTAAGTGTAAGTTTATTGGCTGTCATCCAAGTCGATATTTTGATCAGCTCCTCCTTAACAATGGTGTTGAGGGTGGCAAGATTAGGGTGAGAGATGACATAAGTCGTGTCGTCAGCAAAGAGAATGGGTTTCAGGTGTTGGGATACGTTTGGAAGATCATTGATGTATATGAGGAAGAGCAGGGGACCAAGGACACTTCCCTGCGGAACTCCAGTATCAAGTGGCTGTGCTGTTGATGCTGTGTCTTTAATGGTGACATACTGATACCTATTAGTAAGGTAAGATTTGAAATATGCAAGCGCATGGCCTCTTATACCATAATGGTCAAGTTTGTGGAGTAGGATGCCGTGGTCTACTGTGTCAAAAGCTTTTCTTAGGTCAATAAAAATTCCTAGTGGATATTCCTTATTTTCCAATGCTGTGTAAAGCAGATCTAGCATTTTTATAATTGCATCATTAGTGCTTTTATTTTTCCTGAATCCAAATTGGCAGGGGTTGAGTATGTTTTCCGCCGTTATAAATGAATATAGTCTCCTGTGCACGAGTTTCTCAAAGATTTTGGTTAGCAATGGTAAGTTTGATATTGGCCTATAGTTGTTTAAATCTGTAGGGTCACCACCTTTATGTATTGGTGTAACCCTTGCCGTCTTGAGTAGTTTCGGGAAGGTGCTAGTTTCTAGTGACTTGTTAAAAAGTAATGAAATAGCATGCGAAAGGACATGGGCTGCTCGCTTGTACAATAATGGTGAGACATGAGACAGATTCCCTGAGTTATTTTTAAGTGACTTTATAATCTCGGTTACTTCCGTGGGCTCAGTTGGTGCAAGATAGAAGGAATTTGGGAAATTCCCATCTAGGTAGTCCCCGGCATGGGCATTGGTACGTGGGATTTTATTGGCGAGCAAAAGATCCTTTCCTAGGACGACCTCTACCCCTCCTCCTCCTATTATTATTATTATTATTATTATTATTATTATTATTATTATTATTATTATTATTATTATTATTATTATTATTATATAATGGAGCAAGTCTTTTATTTATTTTTTTCACAAACAGGGAATCAAAAGTCATTAAATAAAAGTCTTACTCTTATTCATGTCTGCTTCCCCATCATATACAGAATGTAATAAACACTTGTGTGTCAATCTAACAGAGAACATACAATAAAGCAGATAAAAGGAAAAAGATGTCAGGTGGGGAGATATCGAGTCGATGTGTTGGTCGTCACCTGATCATGAAGTTTTCATTGGGTATTATTATTATTATTATTATTATTATTATTATTATTATTATTATTATTATTATTATTATTATTATTATTATTATCAAAACAAAGCGCTAAGCCACAAGGGCTATACATTTCATGGGGTAGCACTTGGCCAGCACAACTGAAATGGTAAAACTACCGAATTTCTGGACCTGCATCAAAAACAGTGTTCAATGCTGATTTAAGGCAACGTCTTTTCTGCAGATTGGTTTCTTTGATTATAAGCCTCGCCTATTCCTGTTTTATCAAATGGTCATGTGAATTGTGGTGAATCTCACAAATGTTTATACTGTCCCTGTTATTATAGGTATATTTATGCTATCTATGGCGTTGTTCTAGACTTCTTGCCATTTTTCCTCCATATATTTTGCCACAATCATCACACGGGTTAAGAGAGATTGAGAGAGACATCACCTTGATGCGTCCCACACCTGACATCTTTCTCTATACTGAAATTACTGAATACACAGTAATACTTTATTACCATGTCCTATAATGGATTAACAAAACTTGAGGAAAACAAAATACTTCCTAATAAAATGTTCTAGTGTTGGTAGCACAAGTGTATTTATATTATGTCGGGGCCAGGAGCTGTGATTCGAACCCTGCAACCACATATAGGTGAGTACATATACTGTACCAGGTTCCTGTATCAAGTATGTACCATTCTCTGCAGGAATTACCTTACCTGCGGCCGCTTCCAGGTAACAACTCCAGGAGGTTGCTTCGAGAAGAACAGTGATGAGTCATGGGGAGGAAATTTTGGGTCACTGAATTTCTCTCCTGAAAAGAAAGTGTATTTAATAAACACATTCGCTAAATAGGTATTTATTAATTTATTTATTTTATAGAGCTCTTTAATAAGAATTTGAACGTACAGTCCAGTACCTGCAGTACAGTATTTTACTGTAATCTACTTCAACTGATTCATAAAACTACCACATGAACTTTTAGTTTACCAATTTTGTTGCAAAATATGCTCAGTAGTAGATATTCAAAGGTGTATGAGACTAAGCATACAAATAAAAAAGCTTCCCTGCCCCAAGAAAGTGGAAAATTCTGTGATGGCATCACCAGAGTTCATAAATACACTGGCTAATAAAGCCTGCAGTATGAGTCTCAAATTCAAAATCCAAATTTATTTATTTCTTTGCAAATAGTACATTGAGATTATGTATTTACAATAATGGGTTGCAGTACAAAGAGAGCCTCTATTATGCCTAGGCATTATGGGCCAACGTAATTTAATGGCTTACTGACTACTTTTGTTATTTGAAATGCTAGCCATATTACTCTCTTATCCACCTTATAACATGTATTTTCACTCTCTTATCCACCATATAACATGTTTTTTCACTCTTTTATCCAACCCATAACGTGTCTTCTCCAAATCCATAAGTGCAATGAACAGTCCTTACCTTTGTCAAAGAACTATTAAGTCTCATGCTTCACTGCATAAACACTCGATACATATATTCCCTCTCCCTTCCTAAATCCACCTTATTCCTCTTCAATCATTCTTCTGTACAGTGTCCACTATACTCAAGACCTAAATAGTCTCCTATAATTGTTACATTCTCTTTGGTAAATATTGAGTTTAGGAGTTTTTTTTGAACTTTTCAAGATATTATGTAAATTCTGCTTTAATAAGAGGTGTTCTGCAATGAACACAGTTATATTTTGGGCCTATGGGATAGTAGCTTTTTTTTATACAAGAAACCTAACCCCACTCCCTGAGTCAGCACTCAACGCCGGAGCTAATTCATACTACTTGGTAGTTAGATTTACCATTGTAAGTAAACAACACTAATATTACTCCTTATAAATTTTATACTAATAACTGACCTCTTTTAAGACATTCTTTCTTTAGCTTTGAATATTTCTGGCCATTAAAGGCCGTGGTGTGGCTGAAGAGACCCATCGTGGGCTATCTTTTCATCTTATGTAATTACTTGACTCGTGCTTCTGTTTAGTTTCTTGAGTTTTTTACAGGTCTTAACACTCTTGCTATAAGTTGGGCCAAAAACAGATTTGATGCAGCATTACTGATTCTGAAAGTAAATAGAAACATATATCAGATTACTGGTGTACGAATGCTAATACTTCTGCACTGTACATTCAGCAGCAAACAAACAAAAGCTTAAAAACCTGGTACAAAAGCATAACAGTATTTTTCTTGAAACACTGAATGAAGTCAACAATAGACATTTCAAGGGACAGAATCTGTCACCTTAGAAGATCTAATGGTTAGAATCACAACGATAGTTTTTAAAGGGGTGGACCGGTAAGCCAGCGGAAGGCCTCGGTCAAATGACCAAAGGCTCCAGCAGCGGGTCATCATATGACCAAGACCTGCGTCTCGAAACACTTGTCCTGTTTCTGACCTTAGAACAAATATAACACTGGACAAAACTACTTTTGCTACTTCTAAAAAATTAAAACTTTTTACGGTCAGAATTAACTCACCAAGTAAGATATTGGCAACACAGCGCATAATAATCTTGAATACCCCTCTGAGGACAGCCTTGAGACTGTTTTCATGCATAAGCATGAATCCTATACATCATGCCTGCTTGTTAGGAAGAGAGGAGTCGGAGAGCACTAGTTGTGCTCTGGCTGTTCCAGTGTTCAGATATATTTACAAAAAAGCTACTGCTACTGCTTCTATCAACTTTTCTGTACTCGACTGAAGAAGCCTACTGTGTAGGCGAAACGTTTCGAAATAAAGATACCTAACTGTTGCATATGTGTCTTACCTAATAAAAAAGCTACTATTCATTATGTACATTGGTGTTCATTTTGCCTAGATTGCATTTCTTTATTGCATACATATATCCATATTTACATTCTATTTCTTTTTAATATTGGTGTTCATTTTGCCTAGACTGCATTTCTTTATTGCATACATATATCCATATTTACATTCTATTTCTTTTTAATATGATATCTTTATTTCAGATTATCATGAATAGACGAGGATGCCTGAACAGTGCAGACAGCTTTTGCTATATTTGTGGCGAGAATACGTCATGTGATGAATGAAAAACTCATAACAAATCCTATCAAGATTGCTTATTAGCACTGTTGTACACTCAGTCGCAAGATAGGTGATCAAGGTAAAACATGGGCGCCACACATGCTGTACTGTTTGTACCTATGGACTGACACATTGGTCATTTGCAGTCCCAGTGATGTGGCGAGAATCACTTGAATGACCTTTTTTTCATGCGTGAAACTATGCCACTATGAAACTATGCCATACACTTTGTAGAAATAAAGTTTACCATCATTTATAATTCCAGGCTTCTGGGAATGGGCTCAACAGAACAGCTTTGGCCATAGGTCACATACACATGCCAACAGTTTCAAAAATTTAGCCCTAGGTACTGTAAACAAGCATTGGAGATTTGAAGCCAATCAGATTAGGCCTTCTCAAGTTATGCGCAAAGAAAACAATAATTTTGGAAACCACTAAAAGGTTTTCCTTTAAGGACACGATTTGAAAGCATGTATATGTTGGAGGTTTGACTAAAGTTAAGGGATACTAACGACGAAGGTTTCTTGGTCATCGCCCCCGCGGCCCGATCCTAGACCAGGCCTCGTAAGTGATATTGACGATGGAGGACAATTAAGTTAAGAGAGTGTGACGATGGAGGCTCGACTAAGTTAAGTGATACATGGGCCAGACACAACATTATTTAGTGAATTATTCGAAACTCCCCATGTTGGTGTCCTCACCGAGTGACCAAAATCATGACTACCCGCACTCGCTGCTATTTTCATTACCACCCCCACACTTCTATGCCCATACTCACAAACCACCACACCCACAACACCACCACCACATCTTACAAAATCCACACTACCACCATAAATATAGACAGGAATAAAAGCCACAGCGCCGTGTCTTCCTTTGCAAATGACACCCGAATTTGCATGACAGTGTCCTCCATTGAAGACACTGCAAGACTCCAGGCAGACAGCAACCAAATGGGCTACAGAAAACAATATGAAGTTCAATGATGAGAAATTTCAATTACTCCGATATGGAAAACGTGAGGAAATTAAAACTTCTTCGGAATATAAAACAAATTCCAACCACACAATAGAGCGAAAAGCTAATGTCAAAAACCTGGGAGTGATCATGTCAGAGGATCTCACCTTCAAGGACCATAACATTGTATCAATCGCATCTGCTAGAAAAATGACAGGATGGATAATGAGAACCTTCAAAACTAGGGATGCAAAGCCCATGATGACACTCTTCAGATCGCTTGCTCTATCTAGGCTGGAATATTGCTGCACACTAACAGCACCTTTCAAGGCAGGTGAAATTGCTGATGTAGAAAATGTACCGAGAACCTTCACGGCACGCATAACTGCGATAAACCACCTCAATTACTGGGAACGCTTGAAGTTCCTAAACCTGTACTCCCTAGAACGCAGGAGGGAGAGATACATGATTATATACATTTGGAAAATCCCTACGAAAGCGAAAGACTTGGCAGACGATGCAACGTCCTCCCAATGAAAAGTAGGGGTGCCGCTAGCACGATAAGAGACAACACAATAAGTGTCAGGGGCCCAAGACTGTTCAACTGCCTCCCAGCATACATAAGGGGGATTACCAATAGACCTCTGGCTGTCTCCTAGCAGGCACTGGACAGGCACCTAAAGTCAGTACCTGACCAGCCGGGCTGTGGTTCGTACATTGGATTGCGTGCGGCCAGCAGTAACAGCCTGGTTGATCAGGCCCTGATCCACCATGAGGCCTGGTCACAGACCGGGTCGCGGGAGCGTTGACCCCCGAAACTTTCTCCAGGTATATTACACTCGCACCCGTACCACACCTAAACCACCACGACACACTTACCACACCCACACACAACCCTACGAAAGCAATTCAGGAAAATCACCGGAAGTCATTGGGCATAATACTGTGTAAGCCTCATAAAGTTCTTTATGCTCCCCGAGTTATGGTCGGAAATGCAAACGTGGGAAATGTGGTGATGGCTTGTGAGAGTGGAGGGAGTGGAGGTGAGGTTGTCTGGGTGAGGCTGGAATTTGCCTGCTGAACAGGTTGTTGACAGAAGGAAGGAGGGATAGAAGGCAATTTGCAACTTACAGAAGCAAGACATCTCACTGGGTGGGGCACAGGAAATGTGTCATCACAATCGCCATTTTGATTCTGAGACGAGTAAACCACAATGGGAAATCACAGCCACTAGATTACTTTCATCATTTGTTTTGTATACTCCATGCCCCATCCGGTGGGTGGCAGTCACCTCATGCCCCATCTTGTATGCGTTAGGCACTTTAAACTCATCCTATGGGTGGTAGTCACTCCCGGGACCGCGGACCGGTCCCAGACTAGGTCGTCTGGTTGCTGGCCTAATAGACCAACTGGTACTGTGCAACATTCTTAAATTTTACAATGGTATTGAAGGCCCACACATATACTGCCTACTGTGTATATTTAAGGAAACATTAGATACACTCAGATAATGTGGATGTGCAGAAGGGATGCTGGGCAGCATGGGAAGGATGCTGGGTAGTATGTGGTGGGAGGGATGCTGGTAGCATGTGGTGGGAGGGATGCTGGGTAGCATGGGGTGGAAGGGATGCTGGGTAGCATGGGGTGGAAGGGATGCTGGGTAGCATGGGGTGGGAGGGATGCTGGGTAGCATGGGGTGGAAGGGATGCTGGGTAGCATGGGGTGGAAGGGATGCTGGGTAGCATGGGGTGGGAGGGATGCTGGGTAGCATGGGGTGGAAGGGATGCTGGGTAGCATGGGGCGAGAGGGATGCTGGGTAGCATGGGGTGGGAGGGATGCTGGACAGCATGGGGTGAATCATGAAGAGTCAATGGGATATGGGTTTATTGGTGCTGAGAAAAGAAACGAGAATTGGGTGGAATTAATTCAAATGAGGGCATTTAAAGATAGTGGGATGTAGTCTGGGTTTTGGGGGTCATAAAGTAGAGGGAGGGTCTGGTGGTAGGCAGTGGGGGTTGGGAAGGGTGCCGTGTGGGAAGGAGTTAGTGAATATTGTGAGGTGTTATGAGGAGGGTTGTGTGCTCGTCTATCTGTGTGTGTGTGTGCTGTTTCCCAATGTCTCTGACTCATTTGCCTTTTTAGCTTCTACCCTTGGTGTACTCGCTTATTTGTGGTTGCGAGAGTCGAGACTCATCTGACATAATTGAGTTCAGTCAAGTTTAGCCTTTTGGGCCCTATCATACCTATTCTTAACAGTATGCATGTGTTTTTTGATCATGGCGTGTACATATATTACGTGGCTGTCTGTAATGTGTGGTAGTTGCTTGTATGATGTGGGTTGGGTGGGAAGGTGTGGATGGATTAGGAGAGAATATGGTGGAGGGAAGGGGGGGTACTTAGAGTATTATAAAACAACAAACCTTGACAGGGGGGGGAGTGGAACGGAGTGTGTTAGGAAGGGGGCAAGGTGTCTTAGTCTGAATTCACCTGTCTTCCTCTGGTTAAAATGAGTCAGTGGTTACCTTGTTTTACATCTTACCAGACTTTCTGGCCTAGTCATTCTTGATATGTCATCTCACTTTAGGTACATTGCAAATTTCAGTGGAAACTGTCAGATGATCTCCCTCCAGTACTGAATTTCTGATCCTCTAACCCTGGAAAACAGTTGTGACCATTACATCTTCAACGATACAAGAGCGAGATGCCCACATAATGGAATACATATATGCAGAGAAATATTTCATGGCAAAAACGTTTTGCTCTGGAAAGAAGTATAACAAAAAATGCTTGCATGCAAAGGAAGTTTGCATAGTGACAACGTTTCACACTGTGCAGTATTTTATCAAGTTGAAAAAACTGGGTAGAGCTATATCAAGTCTTGTTCTGCATACGTGTATTTTACTATACATTTTTCCAACTTGAAAATCTCTCAGCTTGATTTTCCTTCCCTGGACTACACAGGCGCCTGTGTAGTCTACCGTAACCTCCGATTCCACCTCATGAACTATGATTTAGGTATATAGGTAAGTATAAATAGGAAGCGCGTCCATCTCGCGC